AAAATCATTTTATGAGCTTAGACGTAGACGTACAGAAATAAAATTGAAGAAAAAGTAGCCGAAGTAGGGGGAAAAAATTGATTTCCTGTCCTGTTACAACCACAAACACACATTTATGCACACATTTATACACACATTTCCATGTGTGCATGTGTAACTGACTATAACCGATATTTACAAGATAATTAATCCCCATCGATGTCGTATTGACATGTGCGCGTTGGCAACTCAAAAGTGCCTGTCCACCCCATCCATCCATCCATCCATCCGTCCGTCCATCCAACCATCCATCTATTTAACTATATAGATACATGTGGGTATAGCTGACAACCAGAAAGGAAGTCATTAGTGTGCGTGAGGAAATAACTAAAAACAACAACAGCAGCAGCAGCAGCAACGGATTTGGTCAAAAAAATAAATTAGCAGCGCCATCGGACATTGGCACGTGCTGTTAGGTGCTGTTAGGTGCTGTTGAAAAGTTAAACGAGCGTCGAACGACAGTCAACAAATACTAAATAATATTCATAATAATAATAAAAACAAAATAGACACATACTTATTACTATTAATAAAACGTCGCGACGTGGGCCCGTCTAGCGCCCACCTCTGCCAACATACTCGCATGCGAGCTGAGACTCGGACATAGTCGTTTATGGCAAATGTTACAAAAATACCAATTAAAGCGTTTTAAAATAGTTTACGATTTATGTGAGCGGTTTCTGCTTTTTCTGTCTTTCTTACTACAACAATACACTTTCCAGCTGGGGTACTCTGCCTATCTCCCAGCAGTTTGTGCTGATGATCAGAAGAAGCCTGTCAGTCGAGGGTTGGAACTAAATCGTTTGTCATTGAGAAGAAAGTATGGTGGCAGCATTTGTTCATACAAATATTTTAGCAAAATTATTGTTTCAGCCATTGGCTAGACTAAGTCTAAGCAGAATAACTTGGAATCGTTTAACTGTCAATACCGCTTGTCCTTCTTATGGCTTAGCACTACTTTTGGTTTCAGCTTTCGAGGCTATCCTAAGCTAAGCTAGAGAACTGTATTTTTATGGGAATGATGCATATTTGCAGAGATTTACAAAGATCAGTAAAAATATCTTTGAAATGTAAAAAATAAACTGTTTGGCTAAAGTATCATTCAAATTGTGGGTGAATTCTTCAGAAGTAACCAAATGCTTTCAGTGAAATGTGTTTAATTGTAAAACATTTTTTTGACTTATTTAGATATACAAGTACATTAAGCTACGATCGACATAGATACTAAAGGACACAGGAGCAGTTAAGTTGTAAGCTTATAAAAAACGCTGTGAAATGAAAATGAAATGAATATGAAAATATAATTTAAAACAATTTCTTACTACAGCGACTCGAAGATTAAAGCTCGACTCGGAAAACTTGAAGCATTTGTGGCAAATAGAGTGAATGGCTTAAAGGGGTATCATTAATATGTAAAACTTGTGATATCGGGATCAATATTTTATCAATTGCAGGAGCGATTATTTTGACAGACAAGTGCAGAAGAAAGCAAATGTCCTACTCCTTCATACAATATTGTTTATTTTTGCCTGTTGAAGACCTATAGAATTTATTTGAAATGCTCTTCGATTGTGTGCAAATCATTGCCTTTAATTTTTAAATTTTTTTTCTTAAATTTCATTCAAAACCGATTAATTTTTTTTTTACAAAAGGTAATGTTGTCATGGCAAGGCATGGCATGAGGTCATGGCAAGTAAAATAACATTTTTTCCAGAAGAAGTTGCTGTTAATTACTTACAACGATAAACGAATTATTAAAGTAACGATTTTCTACGGAGACATCCACAAAATTATATTTTAAATTTAAATTAAACTAACTCTAAAAGTATACAAGAATATCCAGCACTGTTGAGTCTTCTCTCCTTTATTTGAATTGGAATGAAAAGTGTTTAGCTTGTAACTGTTGGCCTGCAAGGAAACTTGGCTCGTGATGATTATATGAGTGGATACCAACCTGCACATTCTATATAATTTATTTTGATATCCAAACCTGTAAACGTTCGAGTTCTTTTGAGTTGCTTTGTTTTAAATGAAACGAACTAACAAACATGTCTGATAAATAAACTTTGTTCTTCCAATGAAATGACATCTGATGGGGCCTTTTGATTCAAATTTGGCTCAGATGGTACGACCATTTATAAATAATGCAATTAAGCGTATGCTGGCTTCGGTGTAACGCCCTTAGGCTTTTCAGTTGATTGGTTTGTGTTTTGTTTTGGTCATTTATGTAACGCCCACGCGTTCAGAATGCGAGTAGAGGCAGCAGAGGCAGCAGAGGTAGACAGTGACAGCGGAAGTGCGTGGGCCACCACGCCCACTGTCCACTGTCCACTGCCGCCTCAGCCGAGCTGCTGGGCATTGCAGGTGCACCCACCAGTTGCTGCGACTTGTTGTTGTCGCTTGTAATGCGATGCCTCAAATGAAAATCAGTTGCTCGCGGTTTTTTAGTTAGTTTTCGAGTGAAAGGCCAGAAGCTAGAGGCGCCCTAAAAGGCAGTTGTTGTAGTGACAAATGTTGTTGTTGTTGCGCATGTAATTTAGTCTTCAGCGCCTGTATTTGTATTTGTGAGAGACTCGCCAGCAAAAAAACTCGATTCCAATTTTATTGCGTACCGCTGCAATCTGCGAGGCTTAACTGACATCTGGACAGTTCGTTAAAGCGGCAACAGCAACAGCAACAGCAGCCGCAGCTGCGGTCAAACAGGCTCGTGCTAAAGCCAAAAAGCAAGCCAAAATCTACAACAACCACATGAACAACAACATCAGCAACAACATCGGCAATGGCAGCCAGCATCGCTCCTAAGCACACACAAAATAAAGAGAAGTCGAGTAAAGTACGCAGAGTCCAGTGTTGGCGCACTTCGAACGATATTGGCTAACTGCTGCTTCTGATCCGTGTGTATGTGGCTCCTTAGGTGCCCAACCGGTTTGCCTATACGTGTGTGTGTGTCTATGTGTGTGTGTCTATGTGTGTGTGTGTGTGGGTTAACCGAACTGCTCTAATTTAAGTGAAGTTTGAAGTTTGCGTTAGACGCTTCAAATTGGCTTTTTTGCTTGTTATTTATTTTTTCGGCAAGCTGCGGCAGAGTGAAGGGCTTGCCTGGGCTGGGCTGGGCTGGAAGTTGGCTTTCACTGTACGAGCAGACATCGCATAATGGCTTCAATTAATCGCTATGCACATGAAAGAAGTATTCAATTCATTGCCAGCATGACCAGCACGGGCCAGCACGGGCCAGCACGGGCCAGGTGTGCAAAAATGCTGTGACAGGCGCTCAGATTGTTCCTCTTGTGTGCCATAAAAAGCTTTTAAGATCGGCCATGACGTTGAGATAGCTGGTTAAGAAGAATTCTCAGAGGCTTTATTTTTCAGTTTTATTATACGATTTACATACCTGATAAAAATAATATTCTAATCAAGAAGTCTATATAGAGTGGACTTGTTGCTTTTACTTTATTAGCTCGATATTTATTTTAACATTTGTAACTTGGAATTAATCCTAAATCACAAAATTTGATGCATATACAAGTATATGTATAGCCAGAGCAACGAAGGCCTTCAGGCTGGAGCTCGATATTATCTTAGATTGCAGATAAAAATAAAAAAAAAAAACAATATTCTTTGGCTTCTATGTTAGAAGATCCTCAAAAGACCGTCTGAACTAATTTTGCCAAGAAAAGCCAGACATACATATGTACGAGTATTGAAATAATTATTTCACTTCGCCTATTCTTATATTACACTTCGCATCTGGGATAAGCTCTCTCTGCCAGATGCACATATTTATGTATATAATAAATCGGTTAATAAATACATACTATATATACACAAACACATTCATATGCATGTGTATTGCCTTTCAGATGATGGTTTTGGTTATGATGATGCAGAACATTTGAGGCTATTCATGTATTTGAACCATTGTTTTCCTTATTACGTATTGCGAGAGGCAAGTTCGTGTTCGAAGTCTTTCGTTTCGAGTTCTAATGAAGTGCCTAATAGCATGAGCAACAGAGTCATGGGGGCAACATTGCATGAGTCATGCAGCATGGCACTCAACGCTGAACTCTGACTTGGCAACAACAATAGATACTACAACAACAACAGCAGCAGCAGCAGCAGCAGCAGCAATGACTGCTTACAACTTTTTGTGGCACTTTGAGCGTGAGTGGTCAGCATCGTTAGGGCCGACACCAGCATGAAACATAAAGCGCGCCAAGCTAAGTTCCGAGGTTCAAAGCGTTAACGAAAACGAAACGCGCCAGCGACACAAAGCAGTCAAAAGGCCGCCAGAGAGACAGACCGACCGACAGGCCCGCGTCTATTGCGCCAAAAAGAGTTGCTCAGCAAGTTTGTCTGCCAAAAACAAAAAACAAAAAAAACGAGCGGCAAAGTCTGCCCAAAACAACAACAAAAATGTTTAAATGTATCCAAAAGGAATGAGCGCGCGTTTTCAAACCGGCTCGTTCAAGCAGTTGCCAAACGTAAATGCGCCAAGTCTTGTCGACAAAAGCCTCGGCTTGACTTAGCTTTGTGGCCCGCCTGCTGCTCAAAGCTCGGCGACAAGACTTGTAGTTTTGTGGTAAACTCGTTTTGGACCACAAAATATTGCCGCACAGGCTTAAGGTTTCAGCCTCAGCTCTTGAGCGCGCCAAGTCTCTCGACTCTTTTGTTCACGTTTGTCCCGATGTCTCTCTCTCTCTCTCTGTGTGTGTGTGTGAGTGTGCTGAATCAAAGATGGCCGCTGCGCAACCGGTTTGAGAACGCTGCACATTAAGGTATACATGCATACATACTGGCTCGGCTCCCTGGCCTGGCCCGGTCTGGCCATGGTGAAGAGATTTGTGTAGAGATACTTGGAAACACAGCCGCCTCCATACAGCGCCGGCCCCCTCCCCCACACTCATTACCTTTTGTTTATGCCTGTGCCTCACTCATCTAAGCTCTGCGTGTGTCTTTTACAGGTCTTGTGGCACTTGGACGCCTTTCGACGCTCGTTCCGGAGTCTAAATCAGCATGTCTGCAGTGGCCAAGACTGTATTTTCTGTGCTCTGAAGGTGAGTTCGAAAATTCGATATTCAATTATTTTCAATCATTTGTTTTTTAAATATATATTATTTGTTGGCATTGTAAATGGTTTTTATTGTTTTTGAATATTTTTCATCTTACAGCTTCAATTTATATTGTAAATGAATATTAATATTTCAGCAAAATATAAAAATTTTCATTTTTTCATTGCATACTCGTGGCTTTCAAAAACGCAAGGGCCCTAAATATTTTGTAGCATACTTTTTGGCTTCATTTTTATTGGCTTAAATGTTAGATCTTTAGAAGTATTATGGAAATATGGAAAAGCATAATTTTAGGCTTGGCATTCCCGTCAACGCCGCTAAGTTGAGAAATATGCAAATAAAGCAATATATAGGATTGGCAAACATTTATCTTGTAGCGGAGGATGACATTTATTAATTACTTCTGATTTTCATCGAATAATAATTTATTTCGACCATCAATATAGTCGTATATATATGATTAATTGCTTTCACGGCATCTTTTTATCTGGAAATAACACTTCTCAGCTCGTAGTACGAGCATATATTTGTGGCTTTCATTAATTTGTAGAATACCCGCACCTTTAGAGCCAATTTGATTGAACACGTTTTGTTTGCTTAGCTTTGCTTTGTTTAGCCTTTTGTCAATTGTATTTATGGAAATATTTCGGTTTTTATCGTATTGTTTCTTCTGCTTCAGGTATTTGCATAGTTTTTGTGTCTGGCCTTTTTATAATTCTTTTCCGTTTTAAAAAGTGTCTTTCAACAAAATTATCTAACTTTTTTTTTAAATAAACCCCAAAAACCGTTCTTAAATACCTAATTTATTTACATAAGTCTCTTATACACAAAAGTTAGTTAGAGTGTTTCCATTTACAAGCTTTAAGAATAACTGGGAACATTAAAATTTGTTGTTTGTAAAGACAAGCGTTCTTTCTACAGATATAGATTCGAGTACATATACATATACACATTAGCCAGCCATGTCCGTCTATTTACGCCTGTTGCACCTTAATAAAGCAATTATGTTTCCAGGGTCAGCGGCAATTTCCCACCTGCGATGAGTTGTGAGCCTGTGAGAGTTTTTCCCGTAGATTTTCCGGACAGATTTCTTAGCGCTCTTCATATGCTTTTCATTTTAATTGCAACGAGCGGTTCGAGCGGCTACAGCTATTAGGAAAACACTGACGCAGACAGCGCCGTCGACAGCAACGGCGACTGCGACTGCGACGGCGGCGGCGACGATGACGATGATGGCGACTGACAGTTGGCAAATCATTTTTCACACGCACACACACAAAGATACTTTTTCAGTTAGAACAATTGCTGCAAATCACAAGTGTCTCGTCTTCGTCATCCGTGTTGTTGTTGTTGTTGTGTTGTTGTGTTCTCCGTCAGCTGCCTCAAGTGCGTGTTCAGGGTTCTACTTGTAGTGTGCAATCATTTTCCTCACATTTCCATTGCTTTTCTTTGGCCCACAGTTGTTGAAGCCAGTCCGAAAATTCCCACACGAAAAACACACTCATAACGACAGACCCTGCGGGGATTTCGCTGGCTGGTTGTGTTTTTTCCACTCTGGGCGCATCAGCTGCTGCAAAGTGACAAAAGCAGTAAAAATGGTTCGTTTTCAAAAGTAAATGCTTACAAATGAATAAACTTGCATGGTTCGATCCCTTCCAATGCCCCCGTTTTGTGCCCAGAAGGCATGACGCTGTAAAATCTGAGATGCAAGCATAAAAGTGGAACTTTTTCCGATCCTCTTCTCCCAATTTCGAGCAAATAAACATAATATATATTACAAATTTGCACATTATTTATTTCACACTTTAGTAGTCTATTTATTTTGCATTTCCTTTAACTAACCTCATAAAGTCTTTAAGTTTATTCAATGTTTTTTCATTTTATTTCATCGAATATTTCTATCACTATTTTTTCATAGCTGTTTTATTTTTATATATTTGTATAATTTAATTACTTCTACTATATATGTCGAGCTATGAAAAGGGGACCTGCCTCTTCTGTCAATAATGTCAAGTCATAACTCATTCTTATTCAGATCTAATACTCTATATTGTTAGCTTATTGTACCGCATATTTGAGCTGAAATCTAAATTTAAATTGGACACCTTTTGTCCTTCGTTTGCTTACTCCTTGTAAATTGCAAATTATTGGCATCATGCTCAAGACTAAGCGTGTGGCGGTTAGGAAGCGTTCCAAGTTACGTTCTTTGCCCAAGCCCCTGATCACGTACGAGGATATGTACGGACATGAAATGTGTGAACGGGAACGAAACGTTGTGGTAAGTTGGTTCGCATATAGATCTAGTCTGGGGAGTAAGCGCTTTGGGTCTCTTGTAGCTGCCTCTTGTGCGAGAGGGATATGAAGAAAGTTTGATGGCGTCCAAACCTTCAATTGAGGATGCTCTGGAGGAGGCCTCTGAAAACTGCTTCTATGGGCCAGTCCCAGTCGATTCTGTCAGCAATGCGTCTGCCCGAGAGGTTCTCTATGACTGGAATTTGCCCAGCCTGATGATAATCTTCCACTCCGGCGACTTGGACAGTGCCAGACACTACCTGGTCGAATCGCTCCACAATCCTTTCGCTCCGCATGCTGTGGCCACCTTGGTCATCCATGAAGATATGGTCAAGGATTTCATGGAACGTGTAGTTGCGCGCATGCATGCTTTGGACCCCAAGATAGCTCAGCACCCCTTATTTGTGCGTTCCCTAGCCAGGCTGAGAAACATAAATGCCAGAATCTTTACTGCTGACCCGAATCGGGTGCCCGTCGAGCTCTCACCCATTGTGGTGCTCGATGCGACACACAACTATATGAACGATGGACCCACTGGAGTCATTACTCTCCACACCTATCGCACTCCCGAAGAGGCCAGCCAGCTCTATCTGATGGAGCCAGTCAAGTATAATTCGGTCAGTGTTTGGGATGAGGACACAGCCAGTTCGTATGAGGTCGCCACACTCATCGACTGCGACAATCTCTTCGTCAACTGTGCCAATGTGAACTTGGACGCAATGCAGGAGGCATTCGAGGAGGGTCGCGACGAAATGAGGCTCGTCAATGGCTATCACCTCGAGACACTCACAATCTTGGGCAAGCGTCGGAAGTTGGCCTTTCCGGTTGGCGCCATCATCATCTAACACCCAGCACACTTTCTTCTTTGTCATCATGTAGTGTATAGCAGATATTTCAGATCAATCAGAAAAAAATCCAAAATTCCTGAATTAATAAAGTCTAAGTAGAGAAAAACTGTAAAGCATTGTTAAGTGTTAGGTGACAAAGGCAGCTTTTTTTTCAAAAAAAGAAGTAGAAATGATTGTTAATTTCTGCTCTGCCCGGCGGCCCAAAAGTGCTTTAAACTTTGACATTTGCGCTTTTGGTTCATTGAAGATGCACTCGACATGCCATGAGACGATGCTCCGTCGCTTGTTGGCAGTCACGATTTGATCGTGTCAAGGCGCATTTCAATTGGCCAAGTCTTTTGCAGCTTAAGCCTAAGTTGAGGCGAGTTGTCGTCGCCATCGTCGTTACCTGGCATAAAGTATTGCGCTAGCCATATTTGGGAAATGTCCGGACTACGGTTACGCTTATGCCCACAACGACGATGCTGGCAATAGGTCGAGGCGTTCCGGCACGGCGCTGACATGCCGATACACCCTCGCCCTCGTAGTTTCCCTTGCCACTGCAACCAACCCTCCAAAGCCGCATGTGGTGTGCAGGTCCTGTGCACGACTCGGTCACTCACTTTAACACTTGGCGGTCACGGTTTTTAATTGGTTTTGGATTAATATGCGACTGAGCTAGGGTGACCAGGGTGCTGCAAATATGTGTGTTTGAACGCGAAGACAACACAGATTTAAAGATTCGAATTTTAACTTTATACTGAAAAGTCCCTTTTAAGACTGATAAGAAGGTGCACCACAGAGTCGCCTGTCTCTTCGAATTTTCCCATTTTCCATGCCTCCCTATCGTACAATGAAAATGCGTCCATAAAATGTTGGCCACTCTGATCTAATGTGCTCTATTTTTAATGACCTGTTTTAATGGCATGTTCAGTTCGCACTTAATTTATCAATGCGCATTAAATGTCAGCATTATGCAAAACAGTGGACTATATCGTTTTGTGGGCAGCATCGTGTAATTTATGATCGCGGTTAGTGGGAACTGTGCGAACTACCCGTACCCCTCCGTCCCTGTCCCTACACCTACCCCTACCCCTATCTCTAAGCCCAGCCATAATTTTCTCATGCGCCTGAACGCACCCCTAATCCCTTTAGCGGCCAGTCTAATGTTTTTAGCCTGCCAACAGGCTCTAATGGTAGTTGTATGGATAGCAAAGAAATGGAGTTTGTTGCCTAAGTCTTTCGTTTTATGTGCTAAGCGGCTTAGACGCACATTTCCAATGAAATGAAATGAAATTCAAGACGCTGCCAAAGAGTCAATAAACTCGTGCCCCGTGCATATCCTCATGCACCTCCTACATTCACAAGCACACACACACACACACACACACACATACAAAGGTAGCAGCAGCAACAAAAACAACAACAACAACTGCAGAAGCAAATTTCCATAAAATGAAATGAGAAAACGTTTTAAAACGCGACTCAATTACGAGGCAGCAGCAGCAGCAGCAGTAAGAACGGCCAAAACAACAACAACCACAACAACAGCAACAATATAAAGTTGGAAAAGCCACTGGGCACCCTCGTGAACTGCCAAGTCGATGATGGTGGCGTTCAGCTGCAATAACAACAACAGCAAACATGTTCACTGCTGACGTTAACCCGTAAGCAACAAGCCAACTTAAACTCGTGCCGCGTCACGTTGTTGTAGACCAAGCGAGTCCAAGACGAGCCACAAACAACAACAATAAGAAACGTTGGAGCGAACAGCAACAGCAACAGCAACAGCAACAACAACAGCAATGACGATGATGATGATGAGTTTGCTGCCTGCCGAGGAAAACTCACAAAACCTTTTCAAGACGCGACTGTACTTTTGCCGAGGAAGACGTTCGCGCTAATTTTGCTGCTGCCGTACAGGGTGCATCAAGTGCAACGTCTTAGCTCCTGTTCTCAGCCTACTCTCTCTCTCTATCTCTCTCTCTCTGCCTTTCACTCTCTCAGCACACTTCTTGATGACGGCGACGTCGACGTCAACGTCGCCATCGCTTCTTGCTGTTTGGTTAAGTGCTCTGCTCTTCGTAGAAGTGGAAAGTGTTCTCAGCATTTGCCGCTGTTTGCTTTTGTTTTTGTTTTGTTTGTTTTGACTCTCTGCGCCTGTGTTCTTTGCCCCCTTTTTTATGTTATTTCGTTGAGCTGTTAACTGATGGTTGGCCAAGTTGATTTCAGTCACGCTCCCATATCCCGCTTTATACCCCTCCCCCTCCCCCTCCCCCACACCCACCCACACCTCCTCCCACAGCCACACTCACACCCAGAATATATGAGCAGTGTCAACCAGACACCCGCACCTGAACCCCCGCGCACTTGCCACATTGCAGGCGACACAGACACAATTAATTGTCGACCGAGGATGGCGATCAAGATGATCATAATGATGTTGCTGATGATAATGATGTTGGCAGTTGTAGCAACAGCAATGGCAAGAGAAGAGGCACAGCAAGAACAACAGCAACAACCCCTTCAGTTCGTTTAGTTTGTTTACCTTTATCCGCCCGCTGTCTTTGCATTAATTATTTATATACGTACATACATACGTATGTATGTATGTATGTACAAGTATTTGTATATATGTTGGCCTTAGTTTGCCGGCTTTTTCACTTGTCGTCGTTCCGTTCCACGATCCCACTCCCATTCCCGTTCCCATTCCCGTTCCCATTCCCGATTCTCGTTTTCGTCTTAAGTTCTGCGACTTAGTTTAAAGCATAAATTAATTTTCTTTGCCTTCTGCCTTCTGCCTTCTGGCTCGAAACCCCTACCTCTTGCCCCGCTCGCCTGCCAGCAACTAAAATTGTTTAATTATGAAAATCGACTTGGCTTTGACTCGCTCGCCCGGCACGACCCTGTGAGAAACTCCCACGCCAACCTACTTGACTGTCTCTGGCAAAGTTCTGGCTGCTACCTTCTTATCGTTTTTCTTTTTCTTACCATTTTTCGGCCAGTTTTAAATGTCTGCACAAAATTGATTGTTTTATTTTCGTGTTGCTCTAAATTGAATTTTAGTTTTTCATTTACGAGTGTGCATGCTATTTGGCTTTTTAGCTTTTGCTGTTGTTGTTGTTGCTGTGGTATTGTAGTAGTGTCGGTGGTGGGCGTGTTCCTTCCTAAATGAATAATTGTCTGCGACTTTTCCTTTTAATGCTGCCCTTGCCACTTGCCTCATTACCCACACACATCCGCACACATGAGGGCCAAAAAAGTTGATAAATGCAATAAAGTTGACGCTTCAATGCATTCGAGTGCACATTTTCCCACAATGGCAATCAAAATAAACCTCAGCAGTGAAGTCTTTGACTTTCTCAACCACTCCTAGCTAAGGACAAAATCGTATTGTAAGTTCGGAAAGGCAAAACGTTTCTATAGCCATTTATCAGTCAGCCAACATTCTCCAGAAAAAGTTAGTAAGAAATGCTCCGCTTTTACTGAAGCATAAGTTTCTTAGTAATACTTAGGATAGCTTTTTTCTTCGACAAGTCTTGGCAAGAAGAATATTTTGAAACATTTAAATAGCATTGCATTTAACTAAAAAATCAATTCGTTGTTGCGCAAATGATATTTTTTCACAAATGTATGTCATATTTATCGAACAATACAAAATTTAAAATTATAAAAGTACCGAGAAACGAAGAAAATAAAATACAATTGTACATATTAAGTTTGATATAAGCTGATAAATTGTGACTATCGTGAGTTGTGGTGATTAGCCAAAGGAAACCTTTGGAAAATCTTGCCTAACATCACCAACGATAAGTGCTGAGAACTGCTCCAAATCAATTAATCAGCCCAAAAGCTGGCTTGGACACGCACTTAATACACTTGTTAGGTACGCCCAAAATATTTTGATAGCCAAGCAATAGGAATCTACTATCACTCTCAAATCAATGTTCAGGCCAGACCATTTACTCAATCATTAATTTGTAGCCAGAGCCGTGAGTGCCAGAGAAGGTGGACTGTAGTTTTGACTTGACCGTGAAGGGGCCATAGCTGGGCACAATGCTATGCTCGTAATACTCGTAAGTATAGTATAGCGGTAGATAGATAGATAATCCATCAGTCATTTGTTTGGGACAGACAGGGCGTCTTTTAATGACCATCAGAACACGCACATAATGACTCGTCGTCTCAGACCCGGTGCCTCACTTTACCTTTCGATTGCTGTTTTGTTTTGTTTCGGTTTTATTTTCTTCTTTCAACAACCACTTGAGAGCTGTACTCGTCTGAAAAGTTTGTGCTATCGCTGCATATCTCTGGAAAACGCGTGCCATGGGCTGCATTGATAAGCAAATGCGAAGCAAATAAACCCACAATACGCGCTTCTTCTCTTCTCTTATCAGTCCCAGTCTCAGTTGCAACCTCAGTCTCAGTCTCTGAGATGGTTGGACTGTGCGTGGGCAGCCGATCGTGCCGCATAAGTGTTTTCACATATTCTGGTGTTTCTTTTTCTTGTTCTTGTTTTTTGGTACTACGAGTATTTGCTTAGCCACTCCAATTCGGCTTGTAATCATTGTAATCAGCCTGCATATCTAACAACAACACAGAACCTCTCGGAGGCAAACAATCGAGCAACTCCAGCCAATGCAAACATGCGCACACAAAATGCAGCCTTCTATGTTTGCTTGTTTTTTTTTATTATTATTATTGTTGTTGTTGCAGTTCCCTAAGCCTATCAGTGCGGCTCTTGAAAAGGTGCTTAAGTGCTTCGGCTGGGCTAGGCTGGGCTGGGCTGGGCTGGTGTGGTACTGGGCTCATATGCAAATAGCGATGGGCATGAGGTAGAACACAGTTGACTGAAGTTTACGGCAGAAGCGGCTTCCACAAAAATCTGTGCTGTATCTGTAAAAAATGAAATAAAAATCACAGTCATTTAAGACAACGGCCGCAATGAGCCATTAACACGGACATTAACAGTCGCGCAGTCAGTAAGGCGCGCGCTAATGAGGCCAGGACTAATAGAGCCGGGCAAACAAGCCAAAATGAGCCAACTGGCTCCGACTGCCTAGCTGGTCCGGACACACAAGATTTGCAATCACCATGAAAGCTGAAACACCCCTGGTAGCATTTTATCATTTCATTTATGTACTTTTTAGAGAGAGAGAGAGGTCTTTTAATGGCACGCGAAGAAAGTGCAGCCATAAATACTGCAGGGATTTCAAGAATTCCTTAAGTCAGCTGATCAGTTTTTATTATTTTTTTTTTACTTTTATTTGCAAATTAAAACAAATTTAGTTGTAAATGGGAGGTTCTTCGAGTAATCTCACTGAGTCAAAGATCTAACCGAAAAGGGTAGCTTTAACTGACCATTTGTTTCATTTCACATCTCTCATAATACGTCTCATACTTCTCGATTGACTTTATAATGCCTCGCTAAAGCCATTCCGACTTGGCTTGCAAGACCGGGAGTCGTGGTTTTGCCAGCTTTTGGCAGCTCCCCTCTTCACGATGTCGCCGCCACTTAAAACGTTGATTCATTTGCGTTGAACTTCCAGCTAAATCTTGTGCAATCTTTTGACAAACAAATTGCTGACGATTAATGCTTTAAGATTTTATTGTCTAATCTTTAATTCGGCAACGTTTGAAGGTTGCCAGTGACGTGTATCATAAGTAGTAGTTTATAGTTATTTGATTGCAAAAAAAAAAAAAAAAAACACACACAGCTGTACAATAACTGGCAGCACACTTAATTATGTTATGGATCAGACGTGCCAAGCCATTATAAATCTGGCAGATGCTCTGGCTGCTTCTCATTGAGATAAGAGCTGCGATAATACTTGTACAGAAACTTTATACAACAATCACACATATATACAAGTACTTGTATATACAGATTAAGTTGATATAAACTTAATGTGGTGACACGTTTCGACTGTATCTTAGGCTGAAGATGCCTAAGATGATCAATATTGGAAGGAATTCAATGGAAATTGTTCGCAATTTTATTAAAATATATACTTTATGGCGCTTTGTTGCTATGATAAACGGAGTGTGTGTGGGGGTTTACGTTTTTGGTTTATGCATTAAATCAGACAGATGAATTGACCCTCTACTTGCCGATGCGGACGACAAACGAAAATGTTGGCAATGCACGGAACTGGACGGACTTGAGAGAAATGATTGATTGTCGTCTAATCGAACGGAGGAGCTCCGCGATATCCATCTTCATAGCCACTGTCAGTATCCTGCAAGGAACATTAAAGCATCTAAATGAACTCCTTAATATAGAAATGAGCTCAACTCCTACCTCATACATGGTACTTTCGAAATATAATTCGGCTGGAACATCGCCAAAACGTAGCTCAACAAATCCACGATCGTCAGCAATCTCAAATCCTATATCTTTTGCAGCGACATCCTCACCATTCACGTATACCTTGCCCGACCAGGCCACCAAGCGCACAACGAAATCGGGCGAGACCCCAAGAGCGCCATGAAACTGCTCTACGCTCTGCAAGTAGAATTAGTACATAGATATACATACATACATATATAACAAACTGTTCATGACCGAGTAAGATAATACCTCATGCTCAATTTGTAGTTCCACAATCGGGCTGCTTCCGAAACGGTAGCTATGATATGGTTGCAGCTGCACCGTTGGTTGTCCAGAAATGCGGAGGCGTGGCATCTTTATTTCGCAAGATGTGGGAAACCGAAAAATTCAATGTCTATTGTGGGGAGAACCAAGTGCCAGACTTACGTTTGCAAACGCCAAAAAACGCAATTGTCTGCTACAATATTCAGCACGAAAATATGTTAAAAGTATTTTATGTATTCGCTTGTCAGAGACAAGAATTAAAATGCTCAGTTTAGTTTCGAGCGAGCGAATGACATTTTCGAAGTTTCTATAAAGGAGCACTCTACAAGTATCCTGCCCGTTTACGTTCCCGTAAATTCGAGTGTATGTTTCCTATTTAGATAAAAACGTGTGCGACTTGAAATCGTTCGGTTCAACTTTTCAATTTGCCAGCTTTGAAGAAATACTTGTAAACTAACGAAGCTTACAACATTTTTAAAATCTTTGTCCGCTGCTCGTACATGTTCATAAAAAGAAACGTCAAAACTCGTTCCAATACTTCCATTAAAATGGGTTTTAATAGTAAAGCTATCGAAGAGGTCTTTTGTTTGCTTAAAGAAGTTTCTAAGCACAGTATTCCAACATAATATTTCATGAAATCTAAAGGAACAATTCATACGCTTTATCAGTTGACAGAAAATCTATTTCCCCCATTCTGGAGTATGACTTTTCAGTAACGAAGACTCTTTTTATACCCTGTACCCGTAGGGTAAAAAGGGTATATTAGGTTTGTGCAAAGTATGTAACATACAGAAGGAAGCATCTCCGACCCCATAAAGTATATATATTCTGAATCAGCATGACGAGAGAAATCGATCTAGACATGTCCGTCCGTCCGTCTGTCCGTCCGTCCGTCTGTCCGTCCGTCTGGATGAACGCGAGGATCTCAGAAACTATAAAAGCTAGAATAACCAAAGTTGGCATCCAGATTCTCCTAGGTCCGAGAAAGGACGAGTTTATTTTATTTTTTTGAATTTTCCCCCCCTTCCCCCGCTACAGAATTTCGTCAATAGCGTCCACATTTCAAATGCTACCTAAACCAAACTTTGCACACATAATTTCTATATAATTGTCTACTGTTGTTCAAAATTTTATTCAATTCGGTCAATTCTAAGAAAAGTTATTAGCGAAACAAATTCTCGCCAGTACAACCCCCCCAAACTGCAGCAACAAGTTCGCTCTTCTTCTTCCTCTTTTTGCTGCTTTGGGCGCATATAAGTCAGTGGCGGAAGTTTACCTGGGTACAGGGTATTACACTGTCGGGCTTGCTCGACTGTAGCGTTCTCTCTTGTTTGTCATTATTTGATGGTATTTATTGTTGCTGATTCCTAGTATATTCAAAAGTGAAACTACATTTTAGAATATGGGCTAAAAATGACTTTTAAATTAAACTTGCTACATCAAGAAGCACGAGCTGAAATGGGCTTAAATTAGAAGATATAGTATCTTTTATTCTTAAAGCGCACTCTCTTCCCTTTTTGTTGGCATATAGTAAGCCATGCATTCCGATACCACCCATCTCAAATAGCCAGACACACACATATTGTTTGGCATTTGGAATCAAACTGCTGGCAGGCCGTGCCCAGCTTATCCCGATCTCAGCCTTCTATAGCCGAGCCCGTGTCTTGCTACTGTGCTAAGCCATTAGCGCTGGCAATGGTGAGGGCGAGAAGGGCGAGGGTGAAGGCAATGGCGGCGGTGTTGGCCATCTGCATCAATCAATAGACATGTAAATGGCTATCAGAAGATCAGATGAAAAGGGGAATAAAAGAGACACGCCACATGAGTCATGGCGCGTAAAAGTTTTCCATGCAGCCGAAAAAATGGGAAAAAAGAAACGATGCTCGACAACAACAATGCCACACATTTGTCTTGAGTCATGCCTAAAGTGGTTGAAGGTGGTTGGCGGTTGGCCGTTGGCCGTTGGCGGGTGGCGGCGATGTTGGAGTTTGCGGCTTGACTTTAAACAGACACTTTAACACACATTCGGCCAAAATGTGTGGCTGCATCTTCACAAACGCAAACAAAAAAAACAACAACAACAAAAACGTGAGTTTTGTGCCGTGGCTTACTTTTCTGACTGCAATCAACAACAACGACGGTTGAAACAACAACAAAAGCAGCATGAACTCTGTTTCTTTATTCGTTCACTCCCTTAATGTTGTAAATCTTGTGTTTGGGTTTTATGATTTCTGGCTCAATCGATGTGATGCCGTTGGCTTCGATTTGGCTTTCGTTTAGCTGGAATAGCATGACGCATGCAACATGTAACATGCAACAACAACATTTGGGCGCGCTTTTAGGCGCACTGCGTTGTTTTAGCGTCCTTTTCTTTTTTTGTCACACTGCCACTTTTTTCGCGTTCATTGTAGCGGCATTTCCGTTTTGCTTCTTCAACACGCGTGTCTCGCTGGCTTTGGCTTTGACTCTCCAGCTTCGATTTCAGTTGACTCATAGTTAAAATAATAAAATGTAAGCCATGGGCGAAGCGTACACAAAATATTGTTGTTGTTGTTGTTGTTGCTGTTACTGATGGGGCTTTCAATTCGGGCTTCACCTTGCGGCCAGAAACTTGGCTGGAAATGCAAAACTTCACGTTTTCACTGCCGTTGCAGTTCAAGCTCATCAGTTCCCACCAAATCGCAACGAAAATTCAAATTTCCCGCCCTTACTTTTTACGTAGTATGTACGAGTATGTTTGCAGCTCTCGTGCACATCGAATGTTAATGCCAATTTATACCCTTTGTCTGTGCTCTGAACACATCAAATCAAATTACATTATACAGACACGCAGGTCCTCCTATGTAGTATATAGTGGGACAGGTTCTGGGGCTGCCTGTTGGTGGCTTGACTTGGCTTGGCTTGGCTGGGCTCCCAAACTGGTTTGCCTGCCGATCAACCACACTTGGCTTTGAGCCCTTTTAGTCGTGTCAAATGTTGTACAGTTTGTTGTTGTTCTTGCTGTTCTTGTTACATTTGAAATGCTGGCCGGGTCTATTATGTATTTGTCATTTGAATTGACGGCTACAATCTCAGGGCACATGGCCAGAGTTACAGTCGGAGTCGAGTGAAGTGTCGCACAGGGTGCCTCCTGTTGGCCTTAAGAGTGGCGCAAGAGTCGCTCAGATCTGTGCGTGTGTGTGTGTGTTGTGTGTTTACCTGCGCCTGTTTTGTTGTCGTTGTCGTTGTCTGCTCTGTTGGCTCAGGTGAGCGGCAAACTGGTTGTTGATATAACTGAAGTTCTGCAGTCTCTCGTTGTTGTTGTTGTTATTGTACATGTGCGCATGTGTATGAGGAACCGGTCTCGCAGCGCGCCAGTCGAAAAGAGAGAGAGTGAGAGAGAGAGAGGAGGGAGAGCAAGAGCGAGAACGACACAGCAACTACGCTCGTACGTGACTTCGGCTCCGAAACGAGTTTCAGTTACAATCAAGTGTTGTGTGCGTGCGGGTGTAGAAGCGCATCGAAGCGATTTTCAATTTTCAAAATTCAAATACAATTTTCTTGTTAACCTTTTGTGCAAAAAAGTTGAAACCACAAACGAACGAACGACGAACTGAATGTGAATTGCGCGCCAAATAAAACAAGGAGGGAACGCGGCTCTACATTTTCGAATTCAAATTAAAACCATTTTAATACGATAATACGGATATAATTTTTTTAAAATATATGCATATTTTTTTTGCTGTGCCCAAAAGTTCTCACATTTGGATATGCTGCGACACTAGGATTAACAACAACTACAACAACAACAGACACATGGGATTTGCATATTTAATGCTGTTGCAGAATATCGGGCGATGCTAACGTACCCGTAAGTTGTAATCGAAGTCGCAAAGCCGTTGCCAAATACATATTTCCACTCAGACAGTGAAGCGGTTAGGCAGTGAATAATAGAGTTTTCGTATTGGTCGCCCAACTAGTCCTCGATATTGATTATGCATATATATTCAGTCACCTGTTTGCTTTGACTTTAAATTCTAAACACCAGCTATGCTGAACTTCATCTTGAATTCACCATTCGATTGGCCAGTGTTGGCCTTTTGTCGATTGCTTAAGGTTCAGTTTGCTGGTTTTCCATGTGCCGCTAACTCATCATATTGTATTTAATACTTACGAGCATAAGCGGGTTTTTCAATCAGCTCATCATTGTTTTGGGGCTTTATAAAGTGACATTTTATGTTAATGTGCGTGTTGTCGTCTTGTTTGTTTGATTCGAGCCTGCGGGCCCTGACTTGCTCAGTTCGTTTGCCTTGTTTATGGCTTTTCATTTAAATGCAGCATTCAATTATGATTTTAATATGCGGGGCTAGCTGAATGGCCATTCGGGTGGCTACCTGACTGGCTGGCTACTTCTTCTTCATTATTTCTTTTATTTTTTATTTTTATGATCATCACTTGTTTGATAGTCGTTATTAATTTTTTGTTCCTCTGCTGCTACGGCTGTTGGCTCTTCCTCTTGCTGATCGCATTAATTGCCAATTTGAAAGCGCGCACACAGGCCCTCTCTATAGGCTCTTTTTCCCTAGGGAAAGTGCAAAGCACGCGATATTAAAGCGAAGCAAAGCTCAGCTCAGCTCAGCTCAGCTCACAACTGGCACTTAAGTGCAATTTGTGCAGAGGGGCGCGCATGGACAATTATGCAAAAAACACAAACATCTACCTATGTATATAGAGATATCTACACATGTATACATGTGTATGCATTAACATAAGAGCGAGTGTGTGTGTGTGTGTGTGTGTGTGTTTGTAGAAGACATTTGCATTGAAAAGCAATAAAATGAAGTGGAGAACCACTTGGCATGCGGGCGTCGTGTGGCAAGCAAAAAACAACAAAACAAAAGACTTAAGCAAGGAACGTTCGTATGGCGGGGTCTGTTTTTTAAACCATTCTTGGGCATATGTCACAGGCATAAATGACAACAGCCACGAGAGACAGCATAACTGCCATTTATCTCTGTGCCCCCCAACCCAGGCCTACCTGTCCGGCACCCCTTAAAGCCCCTTATGCAAATGGCGCTATAATGCGCGTAAAATATTAATGGCCCCTCCCACTTGTTCCACACATGAATACAAAAACTGAAGAAAGAAAGTGTCGCATGACTTCGTCGACGCTGTAATACCCTCTACAAAGTTGGCTTATTTCCTATGCACAGGGTTTTAAAATGTTTGAATTACACTAATTCGTCTCTATATAGTCTCTCAAAATTGAAGGGACCTT